GATTTGTAGAAATGTTTGTCAGGTTACCTGACAGGGCTCTATTGATGGTTCATCTTAACAATGCTCCTGTCTGCTTGGATTTCTAGTCTGTACCTGCCTTGAACGCTGAGCTTTCTCTGCCATCGCTACCCTAAACCCTGACTTCTGCCTCTCCTGGCTTCTGGTAACTGATTTCTTCTGGTACTTTTTCGTACATGGATGTTTAATTTACTGTAATTTCTTTCTGTCTGTATTGTTCAAAATTATAAAAAAACGCATTTTCATACCTTTCTAAACATATAATCTTTTAAACTTTAACAAATGGATTGAAGTATGCACATTTTTTTTTTTTTTTTTTGGTTTTTCGAGACAGAGTTTCTCTGTATAGCCCTGGCTGTCCTGGAACTCACTCTGTAGACCAGGCTGGCCTCGAACTCAGAAATCCACCTGCCTCTGCCTCCCAAGTGCTGGGATTAAAGGCGTGCGCCACCACCGCCCGGCTTGCACATTTTTTAATAAGTTTATTATTCTCCTTACAGGCCTGTTAGAGACCTTTCTATATCTTTCCATGTAAACCTACCCTATTCTTTTCAAACTGTACATAGACATATACAATACCTATGCATGATTTGAACAGTTCTTTATGAGTAGACTTTGGATTGTCCCCAATTATTCTTAAAAAATGAGGCCCCCATAACCAGTGTTGCTTATATGTCTTATTGGGTATTGATTTTAACATATCATGGGGCTAACCCTCTTATGGAACTGTTTGGCCCAGGAATTTTTAAAAAGTACTTATTTTTAGGTCATTGTTATTATTACTTATTATTATTATCTATGTGTATGTATATGTCCCTGGTGTGTGTGTGTGTGTGTGTGTGTGTGTGTGTGTGTGTGCGTACGTGCGCGCGTGTGCATGTGTGTGTATGTGTCTGTGATTTGTATATATGTATACCAGTTCATGCAAGGTCCACTGCACATGTGGAAGTCAGAGGATAATTTTGGAGTTCCTTTTATCTTTACATGAGCTCTGGGATTAGAACTCAGGTTGTCATTCTTGTGGGGTATTTACCAGAGAAGACTGCCTGAATTTAAGCCAGTAGAAAATCTTTATTAACTGGCCAATGACTACTCTGGGTGTTTGAGATCCCAGTGTAGCACTGAGGCTTTCTCAGGGTGAACTTTTAAGAACAAATACCATATTCTGGGTTGACATTCTTAGGTCAAGAAGAAGAGTTATCCAGAAGCAGTATGACAGAAATATCAAAAAGCAAGGTTTTCCCAGAACTATGGACTGTGGTAGATTAGGACTTTGTTTTCATTTTAGCAGGTGATACTGTCTACATGCTGGCTTTTATGGCCTGAATGGTACTTCTATCTTGTAATGTCAGTTGTGCAAATTTCTGGTGTCCTGTTACAGTCAGGCTTCTTCTGTGCAAGTGCCTTTACCAATTGACAAATTCTACCAGATGTGGGTGCAAGCATTTTTGCACTCAAAATTAACAGACTCTAGTTTGGCCAGTCAACCAAAAATGGCATAAAAGATTTATAAATTCCACTGACAGTGAGTAGATGTACTTATTTTTACCGTTACCAGCAGTGGCTATTTTCACTGAATTTCCTGGTGAATATGGATTCAGTTTGCCTTTCTCTTGACTTCTTGAAGTTATCCTTATTATTAGACATGTATTACCCTCCCCCATCTTCCTTTGTCTATGAATTGTTTATTATTTTGCTGTTGTTTTGTTTGTTTGTCTGTTTTGGTTTTTTGAACTCTTGTTGTTCTGGAACTCACTATGTAGAACAGGCTGGCCATGTACTCAAGGAAATCCACCTGCCTCTGCCTACTGAGTGCTTGGGATAAAGGTGTGTGCTACGTCATCTGGTTTTATAGTTTGTTTTTACATCTTTTAATCTTGGGTAGGGATTTGCAAAAATTCTTTCTGCATTGAGAAATTTATATGGTTTTGTCAGTAGGTGAGTAAAAGAAAGAGACTTGGAAGAATGGTTCAATTCTTTCCGGCATGTGCCAGGGTAAGGACATGATCAACCATGGTGCCTGGTAGCTTGTGTGACTGTGACAGTTGATAAAGACAAGCACAGGAAAGCAGAGAAGTGGGGTTGGCATGGCGAAATCCTCTGTGTCACATGGGAGAATTAAAATCTATCTTGAATTCTTGACCTCATACAAGGAGGAGATGAGAGAAGAATTTTAGCAAAGTGTGACTATGGTCTTAGACAGGCAAAGAGGTTACATAAAATATCATTACGGTAAGCCTGATGGGAGGAGTTGCAGCTGTGAACTGGAGGGATGAGAGGCTGGGGTTTTATTTAGATGGTAGAATCAATAGGATTGGTAATCAAGGCAAAGGTCAGGACCAAGGGAAGTAGAGTTGTCTTCCTTAGGGTTACTATTGCAGTGATGAAACAATGACCAAAGAAGGGTGGGGAGGAAAGGATTTATTAGGCTTAGGCTTTCACATCATAATTCATCATCCAAGGAAGTCTGGACAGGAACTCAAGCTTGGCAGGGACCTGGAAGCAGAAACTGATATCGAGGCAATGGAGGAGTGCTGCTTACTGCCTTGCTCCTAGTGGCTTGCTCAGCCTACTCTATTATAGAACTCAGCACCATCAGTCCAGGGACAGCAGTACCCACAAAGGGCTGGACACTCCCCTATCAATCAGTAATTAAGAACAAGCCCTACAGGCTTGCCCAATCTTGAGGTGTTTTTCCTACTAAAGATCCCTCTTTCCTTATGACTCTAGCTTGTGACAAGCTGACATAAAACTAGTTAGTACGAGAAGAATGAGTGGAGGGGGAGGATTAATGAGCTCTCACATCAATTAGAAGAAATAATAAGCAAAATTAGGGAGTAAAGGAAGAAAGCATAAACTTGATCAGTCTGGGACTCAGTGATGTAGAGCGAAGAATGCCCATGTAGACATGTAGTCAGCAGATGAAGTACTTGGGTGGATGGAGAACATGTTGTGTTTGTTGCACCATTTGTTGGCTCAAGCAGTTGTGAAGTGGAGGAATGTGAAGCGTTCTGTTTGGATGCAAGGATCAATAGGGATTGATGACCAAAGCAAGAGAGCAGAACCAGTGGATGGAGGGGAATGAAAGAAGGGAGCTCTCACCGTGAGACCCACTGAGGTTGTCCAGAAGACGGACGAGGTGTATTGCAAAGAGAAGGAGCTGTGCAGAAGAACACCAGGATTGAAGATGGATGGCCAGTGAGAAAGCCTCATGGGGAGGACATATTAGCTGTTCTGCATGTTGATATGCCCCAAGCACTCCATAAATAATTACTTTAACAAGGATTTTTTAAAATCACATTCACTTATTTTGATGGGGGATTGTTTGGTTGCTAGGGGATGTGTGTAGAGGTCTGAGGAAAATTTGTGGGGATAGATTCTCTCTTTCTATCATGTGGGTCTTGGTGATCAAACTCAAATCTCAGGATTGGCAGCAAGCAGTTTTATCCCTTGAGCTACCTTGTCTGATCCACCAGTACATACCCATCAAACACAAGGTAGTGGGGGAGAAGTAAAACAGAATCATCCAGAAGGTCTGAGAAGGAGTCATCAGTGTCACAGGAAGACTGTTAAATGGCATAGCCAAGCTTAGGTGAGCAAGGAAGAAGAAATCTTGTCATCAAGAGATAGATTGGTAGGGGCTGGAGAGATGGCTCCGCAGTTAAGAGCACTGACTGCTCTTCCAGAGGTTCTGAGTTCAATTCCCAGCAGCCACATAGTGACTCACATCTATCTGTCATGGGGTCCAATGCCCTCTTCTGGTGTGTTGGAAGACAGCTAGGAAAATAGCTAAAATAAATAAATCTTTAAAAAAAAAAAAGCAGATTGACAAGAGTGTCAGACGCCTCTGAGGTGAGCTCAAAAGAGAATGGGGGAACTTTCAGCCAGATGGTTTAAAGAGAGCAGCTTCAGTTGGACAAGTAGGGTGTGGAAAGAGTCAGTTTTCAGTGAGTTGTGAAGTAAGCAGTGCAGAAGCATTCACAGGTTGAAGCATCCAGATTATGGGGATGGCTTTACTTGCTTATTGAGACCTGTCAGTCTCTCTATTGGTCTTTGACCCCAGTTAATGTGCAGTTTTAATAACTAGAAGCTTCAGTATCATGTGGGAATCTGCTAGCAGTACAGGCTTTTAGACCTGATCCACACCCGCTGGCCTGTAGCCCAGGAAGAGTTTTTAGGAGCCTTAACATGTGACTTTGATATATTATAAAACTGGCAGTTCACTAGCCTGACAGCCGTTAGACTCGAGTGCAGGAGAATTGAGTGCAGAATTGAGGTTCTGGACCTGTGATTAAAGAACAGCAGGGACCCAGCTTCTGCTTGTGCATGTGAGCAAAGCACCTAGAGACCTCACTCGCCTATTGAGTCTCATATTTTCTGTTACAACACAAAACACTGCATTAATTACTTTTCCATAGCATGGTGAAATACTATAACCAAAAGTAACTTACTGAGGGCAGTTTCTTTGGACTTCTAGTTCGAGAGGAGAAGTTCATGAAGATAGGGGAGGTATGCTAGTGTGGCAGGAGCAAGAAACTGAGGAATCCCATCTCGGTCTCACACAGGAAGCAGAGATCTAGAGAGTGTGAACCAGAAGAGGGATGAGGCTCTAAACCCCAATGCATGCTTCCCCTGACCTGGTTCCTTTAGCAAGGCTGTAACCCCAGATGTTCCATAACCATGCCAAGTGCCACCTGCTAATGACCAAGTGTTCAAATACTTGAGGCTATGGGGGACATTTCTCTTTTGAACCACACAAACCTTGTTATGTAAGGACATATGCTACTTTAATAGGATTTGGTTTTACCTTTGCTAAAGTCTAAATTTCCCTGTTCCCATCTTTATGTCTTTGAAATGCCATGTGGTGTTTTGCGTTTGGATATCACTTGAACCGAATGGCAATGTTGGGAAAGCTGGAGATGGTGGCAGATCCTTTCCTGATTCTACTGCAAATTTATCAAAACTTTTTTTTTTCTTATCAGGTCTGTGAGCTGGATATTATCTTTAATTTTGAAAAGGCGTATTTCATCCTTGATGAGTTTATAATAGGTGGAGAAATACAGGAAACATCCAAGAAAACGGCAGTCAAGGCTATTGAAGACTCTGATATGTTACAGGAGGTCAGTATGGTTTTCTATACCTGGGGTGATTCCAGCACTAATTATAATACAGTTAACACTGAGGACCTCACCCACATTTTGTTCTGAGCATAGCTTCCACTTTCAACAATTTGCATGTATTAGCTTAATTCTTTCAGCAATTCTCACTAGATGTTAGCCTATTTTATAGTGAGTGAATAGAGACTTATGGTAAAATGTCCTGCTTATTTTCGTAGTTAATAAATATGAAACAGAGCTTTGGACCCTCGAGATCTGGTCCTGAATCTTTGCTTGTTTTGTTGCCTGAACTTTGGGGTCTGAAAATATCTTACCCTCTGAAGTGAATGAAATGCTTGGTGCTATTCTTTGCAAATGTAAGTTTATGAGATGTATAAAAAGACTTTCATTAAAACATTTGCTCTGCCCTGGGAAGGATGTACAGCAGCACGTAGTTATTTCATTTGCTGGGAATATTAAAGCTGTGTTATCGAAGATGGCATTTGTCATTTTAATTGAAATTTCCCACTTCTCTTGGGACGGCCTTAGGTCTATGTGCTCCTGTTTGCATAAATAAATCGGGAGCACTGGTAGCAGGATTGCAGGGGTATAAATGGTCCTGAAGCTCGTGCTTCATGCTCCTTCTCACTCTGTGATTGCTCATAAAATATCCTGGGACTTTTCTTTTTAGAAGCATCCCAGATTTGAATCAAACCTAGTAGGGGAACATAACCTACATTAGCTCCTACAAGGACAATCAAAAAGAGGACTGTATCCCACCAACCCTTGCCTTCTCAAATATATAAAACTCATCTGTTAATTTAGTCTAGACTAAATGACTTGTTCTAAACCAAGCGTGGTTTTGGGTGCCTAGATTCTGTCTCACCTCTCCAACAATGTCAGTGGGAAAAGGGACATTTCTTTTTCCCTGCCTCCTCCACTCTACTGTCTTTTTGTTTTCTTTTTTCTTTTTCTTTTTTTACTTTTTTTTTCCTTTTAAAAGACAGAGTCTTACTGTGTAACCCAGGTTGGGTTTGAAATCACAATCCTCCTGCCTACCTCCCATCTTGCTGGGATGACAGGCATGTACCACCCCTAGCCTCAGTGGGTTTTTCCATCTTCCTGTTTTCATAACAGGTCAAGAACCAAGAGGATTTCAAGAATTATAAAGTACCTTTTTAAAATTGGTGCTAAAGTCATTCTTCCTGCTATTTGGAAATAAGAGACTGGTTAAGTTAATAAGACATTAGGCATGATTTCTCAGCAACTATCTTGGCAGTACTGTGAGCTGATTACTTACTTCTACCCATGGAGGGACTCCATCCTCAGGTGAGTGCAAATGAAGGAAGCTAAGGGTGGGCTCCCATAAGCAGCTCTGTGCTTATCAGGCCAATGCATTTATTGCCTGAGGTGTTGTCCCCTCAAAGAAATGCATTGAACCTCTCTGAGTCTTACTTGACGTTTTCCAAATGCCACAAGAAGGTGCATTTTATGAGGTATTGCAGAAACCAGTGGTTTGGAAATTCCACAAAAGAGCATTGATTAAAATATGCTGGGGCAGAGAAGTAGGGAGTAGGTAGTGGTGGTTGTTCCTGATACTCTCTTCTTGGTCTTTAAGATGGAAGCTCCTTATAGAAGAGGCAGGTTTCCCACAGAGTCTTTGGCACTTCAGTAATTAAAGCTTCATGAATTGAATCCAAGGCACACCTAGATTATTTTAAAGTCCCCTAAAAGCAGGAAACAAGTTTTTACTAGCTTTCAGTGAACCCGTGTTTCTAGTTCTGTTTAAATCTTGGGACCAGGCATTTTAGGAAGTGAGCCCTTTCACAGTAAGGGTTGGTTGGTTCCTGTCCCTGGTGATTGAATGGTCAGTGGGAAAGGTTTCCTGTGAAAGATTTCACCAGAGACCCTGGGTTAAACATTGTGCTCCAGTGACCAGGCATGATTGTGTCTGCCCTTAAATGTCACTTGTTGAATGAACAGAGCCGGCCATGTGAGAGTGTTACTAGTGTCCTCATGGCCTCTGGTACCCATCCAGTGATGTCAAGGAACTTTGGTGTGTATGGGGGGTAGGGGGTGGCTTGTTGAGTAGTTGACTTTGCATGTCTGTTCTGCTTCAGGAAGTATGAAATATTTAAGAGAACATGTTAAGATTATATAAAGGAGAAGGATTACCTCTTTATTTCTTGACCTTCAAGAACAAATATATTCTAAACACATATTTGTAGTAGGCTGAGGAAGGCTGTTATGACATTGTCTTCCCTTTAGAACAGTGGCTGTCAACATTCCTAATGCTATGACCTTTAAATACAATTCCTCATGTTATGGTGACTCCTACCCCTGAGCCATAAAATAAATTATTTTGTTGGTACTTCATAACTATAATTTTGTTACCATTATGAATTGCAATATGTCTGATATGCAGGATATCTGATATGTGACCTCTAAAGGGGTTGTGACCCACAGTTACGAAACACTGCTTTAGAACTAAAAACCCTAAAGTAGCTCTTAGGACCCCCTTCCCCCTCGATTACACTTATTAAAGGTTTCTTAGGGCAGGGGAGGAAAACCAAAGTTATTTTCACATATTTACAAAGGAGACTCAATAGTCTCAAAGTTCCAGGTGCTCAGAGCTTAATCTGAGTATATTCAGGTTAGATGTTGATAAACCAGAAAGTCTAATTGTTTGAGATTGATTTATATGGAAGGAAGTAGCAGCAACGTGGGTGGTCTGATAAAGTTAGAAGCGGACTGAAGAGTAGATGTAATTCTCAAGATTACCAGATGAGGGCAGTCATGAGTGGATAATCTTTACAGACAATGCCCTGTCAAGAGGGGAAGGTCAAATGAAGTTCAAGCAGTAGGCCATCCCACACACACATGTGGATGCATGAGATACTGCTTGGTGAGCCCCCATACTTCAACCTACAAAGCATAAACCAAGACTACAGTGCAGTAGAAAGGGGTACAAATACATACCACCATGGTGTGAGTCTCAACCTGACTCTAGGCAGACTCTCATGAAGGCATAGGAGGACAAAGATTTGACACTGTTCTAGTTTTAAGTTGGTTCCAAGCCTTTTTAGTGGCAAGTTCAAGAAAACAAGAAACCTTCCCATAGCTTCCTCATCCTCCCAGAGTGATAGCAGGACTCAGACAGGACAAGTAAGGCAGGATTCAGGCCTGGAGTCACCTCATGCTAATGCAGGGCAGATATCCAGAGCCCAGTGAACCCTAGAGTCTGTGAGGTGTCCACTTCATGTCCTTTGTCCATCTCAGCAATGGACAAAGAGCCTGAAAGGGCCAGGCAGTGTGTCCATATAGTCAACTTTGCAAAAGTAAGGCATTTTGACTGCAAAGACTATATAGCCATAGCACATGTAAAATTAGAGTATCAAACAAATAGAGCATGCTGTTCTAAATTTTTGTCATCTTTTTAATATTGATAATGTGCTGTCATCTCTTAATCTAAATAAATTTTACACTTGATTTGTTTTGGAGATTTCTTAATGGGGATACATTCAATAAACCCTACAAAAGCCACATAGGCTGTAGGCCAGTTTTGACACCCCAGTCAAGTTAAAAGAAAAGGATGGAATACTCAAGAGGAGATTCTGAGGAGACACCTTGGAGTATGGGTCTTTCTTGGCCAGTGCTCAGTTACGAGGCTGGCAAGCTTTGGAGGAAGTGTGGCTGGCTAAGCATAAATAATTTCAACAGTGCTGCACTGGAAGAGACACCAGAAGCAGTTAGAAACCAAGATTTCTAATTTGGAGATCCTCTAGATCAGTGGCTCTCAATTTTTCTAATGCTATGACTCTTTAACATGGTTCCTAATGTTGTGGTGACCTCTCAACCATAAAATTATGTCACTGCTACTACTGTAATTTTGCTACTGTTATGAATCATATAAATATATGATGTGCAGGATGTCTGCTATGTGATCCTTGTGAGGGTTGAGCTGCTCTAGACAATCTTGTTGGTCACTAGCCTTGATCTCTTTGGCCCATGCTGTACACTTTCCTTGGATGTTCAAAGGGGGCACACATGTTGGGGTAGATATTTAAGCATTGATTGCTAAGCAAGCTTATAGTGACTCATAGTGACTTAAGGTATTGTCTAAGGATAACTTGCTGTTCACTTCTTCCCCTCATTGTTATAACCTGGGCTGTTCAGTAGGAGGGAGTTTGCAGTACCACTGTGGAATTCTACTTGTAACCAGGAGTTACAAACTCAAACTCTTAAAACATGAAGACAGGAAAGTTAAATGCTGTGACTTCTTAGCAAATTTGGGAACTGAAAGAGGGTCTAGATACTTTGGAGAAACTTTCTTCCAAAAAGCATGGTAGAAATCCTCCAGAGTCATGAGATGTTTCTCCCCTCTGATTGGGTTGTAGGTTTAATGAAGAGGTTCTGCACAGTATAGAAAACAATGTATATGCTACATAGTATACTTGGGGCTTCTCTAGCCCATGCGTACAAACACACACACACACACACACGCACACACATATGCCTGCATATGGTCCTCACACCATTTTAGACACATGAACTTTAAATCAGCAGTGATGTCTCCACAGTTGTTGCTTTAACATCTCTCTTCCCAAACATCCACTTCCTGATCAAGCTTAGCCCTTTCTCAATTAAAAGTGATATATTTACAACCAGGTGTACATGGAGACAAATGATATTGAAATTTGCAGTCACCTTCAGCACAATGCAAAAGTTTATGTCTGTGTATGTTTTTGAAATATTTTTTAATATTGCCAAGCAAAACAAAGAATGAAAAACAAATCATGGTCTGCTAACACCTATGTCTTGAAGGGAATATTGCTCTTAGTCACTGTTCTCTTTCAGACAATGGAAGAATACATGAACAAGCCCACATTTTAAGTGTACAGTCTACTTGAAGATTTTGAGTGCTCCATACTGTGACCCTGCAAACAAGCAACTTCTTGCATCCAGTTTCCACACGGCCTCTGGCACCATGCCAAAAATGACTTAAAGGGATTCTGTGTTAGCTAGCAAAAGTTAAAGTTGTTAGCATGATGTCCTTATGTTTGCTACATGTATTATACTATGTATCAATACTCACTGTGGCTCTAGGTGTTTCAGATAGTTGCTGCAGACTGAATAGTTGCTTGCAGTGTTTTAAGTCCTTGTGGTATTTTTAAAGTAATCTCAAATATTGGTTGCAATATGATAATTTTTGTAGCCATTTGTTCTTCTACTTGTAGACTGATAACACACAATTTTGAATGTAAAGTATATTTTATATAGTGAATGCCTGTCTTAAATGTTTTAAAATGTACATAAATTAAGTTTATGTTAATAGCTCAGATTTCATACATGATACTAGATGTTTTTTAATATGTTCAATGCTACTATAATTTCAAGTCAGATACAATGTATTATGACTTTAATGTCTTGAATTCAACTTTTTTTTTCTTTTTAGAATTGGGATAAAACTTTATAAGAGATTTTGATGTCTTAGAAGGTGCTAGATCAAGGTTTTTACTTTGCTTTCAATTGAACATTAAGGGACATTTCAGTAAGGTTGTGGTTTCTACAAGCTATAGATTTATTAAGGTTTCTAGAGATCTGGGGATGAAATGTTACAGCATCTCCTGTTATTACCATAATACCAAGAGGAAGAGCTATAGCAATATTTATATAGTAATAATTGTGATCTCTACTACTATTTTATATTTCATGTTCCAATTACTCCTTGTGATTTTTTAAAGATATTTTATTTTCAGATATTTCATTCCTTGTGAGACTTTTAAAAATATTTTTAATATAAGGTGAATGTTTAAGGTTTCCTTAGGTTGTGTGTATTTTCATTGTACCCTTCATGGGAGGTGACTCTTTCATTTTTCTTTTCTTTTTGTTTTTTTTTTAATCCTCTTCCTCAGAAAAATATTTTCTGCTAACCGTAATTACTGTGATCATGTCACCTTCATGCTTCCAAAACAAAAGCTCTGCATAGCCAGGTACTGAGCATGCTCAGACATGAAGGAGGAAGCTGCTTGTAGCATTTGTTCATGGCATCTCTGTCTGCAGTTTTGTACATGCATTCTCTGTGTAAGTGTCGAGGTTTGGTGTCCTTCGTATCTGAGTGCTTAGGACTTTCGTGGTTTCCCTAAGACAACAGTGTACTTGATTTTGTATTCTGAGGGAGATCTCTTTTAGCGGACCTATAGAGAATGTGATTGTCATCTTTGGTTCATCTCATCAGGCATATTTAAGGGAAGATGGCAAGACCAGAGCAGAACAGACAGACAAACTGACCCATTCCTTACTATGACCATTTATGTAAAAGCAATAATTCAGATTGCATATGAGCTAATAACTGGGCTTTTAATAGCTGATTTATCTCAAATTAATATAATTTTGGTGATGTTTGTTCTTTCTGACCATCTTTGTTTAGGCAGTCTTAGGTTTTGTGCATTAACTTTTTTTAAAAAAGTATGATAAAGATTTTTGTTTTTCAAACATTTTTGTAAAACTGAACTTTCTGTAACTTCAGAGGTTTTCCAGTTTTTTCCCATTGTTTTAGAAGGGAAGTATCTTTTGAGCTTCATTAAATGTACTGCTTATATTCTGGATAATCCCATATTTGATCTTGTCTAGCTTGCACAAGGATTCTTCCTGTCAGTGCATTGATAGAAAGTGATCATATTTATGTGAGAAAATTCAGGGGATTTGGGGAACAGCTTACATGAACTTTAGTAAAAAATAATTATGTATTCTTTATTATTGTAAGATTCTAAGAAAAATTACCAAGTGAAAGGAAAAAATAATACTGAATTTGTATAAAACATCCAAATAAAAGGTTAAAAATATGTTAATGATGAACTTGTGTACTTTCATGATTGTGTACATAATATATATTTTTAAGATAACCTCTTGATTCTTACAATTCCAATCTTGGTTTCTGGTAAAATCCCTTTAGAATTTCTTGCTACTTACCAATAAGGGGAAACTTACAAGGTGGAAGCGCCCAGGAGAAGAATATTTCCTTCTTTTCCCCCTCCCAATGTTTCACCATTCCCTCACAGTGTGGTAACAGGATTTCCTTACCAGACGTTGAGAAGCAATCAGTCTTTCATTACTTTCATTAACAAATGTAAAGACTTGTTTTATATATAATAAAGTGAGTGAATCTTCTTATCTTGAAGTCTCTTAAAATAAAAGTAAAGCTTTCAACAAATATACAATGCTTTGAAACTTAAAAAATTATTTCAAGATGGTTATTATCAACCTATAAAATATCATTGATGAATGGCATTGGATTTCACCTCTCTAAGGCTTCATCAATAAACACATTGATAAATGCTGATGCAGTTTTTGATAAAAATAAATAGATGTTCTGGGCTATGTAAACGGAGACAGTAACAAGTTTCCAACAATTTGTAAATGATTGGCCATCACTTGTTTCAACACTTTTTTGACTTATTACAAAGGCTTGATGAAACTGTGCAAAGACAATGTGCTTGATATTGAACAACAATGTTTTGTCACAGTTAAAACCAGAGACATCTAATAATATTAAATTTATTAAAGTGGCCTCTTTCTCCCCTCCTCCATCCAGTCTCTCCTTTTCCTAGGCATTCCCCTCCCTCTTCCCACACCTTCTTTCCCTTCTTCCCTCCCCTTCCCCACTTCACGTCTTCTTCTGTCTCCTACTTTCCTTCTTTTCTTCTCTCTCTTCTCCCCACCCTGCTGACTTAAGTAGCTTCCTATTGCTGTGATGACACACCATGACCAAAAACACTTCGGGGAAGAAAGGGTTTATTTCAGCTTATGATTTATAGTCCATCATGAAGGGAAGTCAGGGCAGGAACTCAAGGCAAGAAACTGGAGGCAGGAATTAAAGAAGAGACCATAAGAGGGTACTGTTTACTAGCTTGCTCCCAGTGTTGGCTCTTTCTTGTTTATCCGTCCAGGACTGCCTCCACAGGGTTGCACCACCCACTGTTGGCTGGCCCCTCCCACAGATTTGTTCCGAGGCCATTCTCATGCAATTTCTCAATTGAGATTCCCTCTCCCTAGGTAATTCAAATTTGTGTCCCGTTGACAAAAAAAGAAAAAAACAAACAAAAAACAAACAAACAAACAAAAAACGAGCCATACTCACTCTCATTTCTCTCTTTTTTTTTTTTTTTTTTTTTTCTTTTTTTTTTTTTTTTTTCGTGACACAGGACCTCACTGTGTAGTCTAAACTGGCTTCCAGCTAGCTCCTGACTCTCTTGCCACTGTCTCCAAACTGCTGAGATTATAAGCCTAAAATACGACACTTAACTGAGAGTCACGTTTTGATGAACTATTTGGTATGCAGTTCAGGCCTACAGAAGGACTTTTTAAAGTTCTTTATGAATGAATTCACAGGCTTACTGAATCTTAAGGTCCTCGGATATGGAGTGCCGGTCTGCAGCATATGCCACTCCCGTCCTAACGTCAGTTCTGGATGTCCATTTACTGTTTTTCTTTATAGTGTGTTTTGGAACATTACTAGATAATGTTTAAGTGTTCTGAGAACATCTCTCTCTTAAGTAAGAAAAGTTAATTAATTTGAGATACATTTATGACTCTGTCATGTTCTTCAATGGAGTGATATTGGATATATCAGCCACAGTCCAGGGCAGACCCATGCTTAGGAATGGTTGCCCAGAACAAAATAAGACTTCATGTTTTTTAGTGGAGTTTTCATCTTTTTCTTTCTTTTTATTTTAGTTTTCTAAGAGAGAGAAAGAACTTCAAGTTGGATGAGTAGAGAGGACAGAAGATCTGGGAGGAGTTGGGGCTTGAGAAAGACCATGATAAATACTCTGTGTGAAATTCTCAAATAATAAATTATTTAAATGGAAAAAATTAAAGCAAAAGTGAGATGATTTGCATTCATTAGAGTGGAATCAAACTGAGAAGTGAAAGTGTGATAAATTTTCAATTAATGCAGTATAAATTTGAATGCTTGAAATATTAACTTTGGTTAAAGAAAATGAGCTTCCATAAAGGTCTTAAACTATAAATATTGGTTTTAATTATGTGGGATTAAATACATTTTGGAGAATTTATCTTCTATAATGAATTGACTTACTGAAATTACATTTTCCTCTTATTAGAAATGGGCATTTTTGAAGAAACAATGCTCATTACATTTTGTCTAGTTGATTTTTGAGTAATTGTAAGATTAAAGGCTAAGACCAAAGTGATGGAGAAATGAACAAGCTAAGGAAAATTAATGAGAAAAAAAGACTAAAATCAGTTGTGTGTTCTACTGGGAGCAGTGATCACAGGTAATAGTAATACCAACAAAGAAAACGATTTTAGATTATTAATTGAAAAGTTTAACTAAAATTATAAAAGCATAGTTTGAAGGAAGTAGAAATCTTTTACATATGGAGTGAACCAAAGCACAATAAATTATAAAGTAAAAATCAGGTGAATTGGTGATTTCAGGGGATGCTTCCTGTGAGACACTTCCTCATCACTCTGTGTCCTGGTTGGGTTTTTGTCAGCCTGACACCAGCTAGAATTATTTGTGAACAGGAACTTCGACTGAAAAATGCCTCCGTCAGACATCAGATCGCCTGTAAGTAAAGTCTATGAGAGCTTTTCTTGCTTGTTAACTGCTAAAGGAAGGCCCAGCCCACTGGGGGCGGTGCTAACCCTGGGCAGGTGTACTTTGGTGGTATGAGAAAGGCTGAGCAAGCTATGAAAAGCAAGTCAGTAAGCAGTGTTCTTCCATGGTCTCTGCTCCAGTTCCTGCTTCGAGGTTCCTGCTTTAAACTTCGGTCCTGATTATGCTGTTTCCTCCCTAAATTACTTTTGGTCATGATATTTTACTACAGCAATAGAAATCAGACTAAAATACTATTCCTGTACTCTTTATTTAAAATTCTGTTGTAAGGGTCTATGACTCTCTAAAGAATGACACCCAGACTCAAATAGTATATAAATACAAAGAATGTTTTATTCTGCAGAAGTCCAGCATGCTGGGGTCTCCCATTACCAGGGTAGACAACCATGTGAGCTCGCAGGCCTGATTTAGAGCACATTAGGGGGTTCTGGTATAGGTGACCTATATTTTGCTTCATCTCTAGGGACATTACATTAACAGGTCATGGGGGCCAGAAATTGAGGTCTGAAAACTGTTGCTGACCCACTGTCCTTGATTCAGGCCAGATGGCAGGGCAGCTTCTGAGGGAAGGGCAGTTTCTGAGTAGCTGCCTGGGTTTTTTGGGTTTTTTGGTTTTCTAGTAACTGACTTGCCTGGGCTTGTCTGGACTTGCCCAGTTATTAGGCCTAGTCTCCTAAATTGCCAGTTCTAAGCCTGTCATGGACTCAGCCTAACCTTCTCACTGTGAGTCAGAATATATAAGTGCAGAAGTTAAGAATGATTCTGAAGACACCATCCAAACACCATTAAATAGAATTTCAATTTTTGTAAACTTTCAAACAATAGGAAATAAAGCTTAAATTTTTATCTCTGTGTATACACAATGGTTCCCCAAAACCAGTCTCTGAAAGCAAGTAAGCCATAGCACACAGGCTAGGGTGTGTGATCAGTGTGACTTCTAGCCCTATTTGTATTAATGTAGAACTTCACAATAGAGTTGAGCTTGGAAACCTTGATTCTAGTCACTCATGTGCTTGCTCTTTAGAAATGTGGATTACAGTAGTATGATGGGATGACAAGGTGAGCCAGACTAACAACTCATTATACACCAGAGGAAAGAAAATGAGAACACTAGTATTCAGGCTTTGATGGGGTCGTGGTGCTAACCATTTGTTTAATTAACCCTCCTCTTGATCAAAGGCATTACCATAAGAAGGTGTTTGATGAGCCT